TATGAAGTTATAAATCTAAAAATAATAATTTTATTAGTTCAATTAAATTATTTTTTTTATTAATTTATCACACTAGTACATATAATTATAATAAATATAAAATACATTTTTAGAAGTACAAATAGTCATTTTAAAAAGTTTAAAAATTTACATTTTTTTCACATATCGTTTTTGTCTTTTTTTATAATGTTCAATAGCTTGCTTAAAAATGAAATTTCTAGCTGTATGTCGAGTATCACGACCAGATGGAACTCTATTTATTGTTTTACAAAATGAATATAGAAACAGTTTTATAATTTTTTGTATTACAGTGCGTTTAATTTCTTCCTTATGTACATGACATTGAAAAAAAAAATAAATTTAATACTTGATTTAAACGTTCACGTAATAATGCAGAAACATTTCTGCGAAAACATATTGAAGAAATATTTTCATTTAAAATACGATCAGCTTCAATATATGCATGTTTTAAAAAGGATACAGACGGATAAATTAACGAAGGTTTCTCTTGTACATATTCTCTATGGACTATTTCCTTATACTCTTCACGTGTTGTATCTGTTGTTAAGAGGCTCTGTTTACACGCTAAACAATTTTTAAATTCTTTCAAAGATAATATCTTTTTTGCAATCCAGCCAGCAACATACACTTGACTATTTTTATACGATGAAACTTTATGCATTATTGTTTTATGCGGAATTTGAAATGATTCTACAGAATCTTCTTCCACTGTTTGTTCTGTAGTGTTAACATGAGAAACATCTTTTACAAAGTTCTTTAATGTAAATAATAAATCACCATTATTTTTGGTTTCGCAGTTATTACCCATAGAGCGTTTCGAAGTTAGATTATTGATTAATAGTGTTTTGTACGATCCACAGAATTGGCTACATGTAGGATTGATATTTCTACGTCCGTGACTACGAATCATACCAAATAAGTTTTCTATTGGATCTTGATTAATATTTCTCGTCTTTAAAAACTTCATGCCTGCATTATAGATCATTTTCCAAATGTTTTGAAACCCACATAGAGTAAAGATCCAATTTTTTAATGACGGTATGCACCTGACTGGTTGTTTAATTTTTGGATCCACATATCGCATATTAGATAGTAATCTAATAGCATACAATCAAAAATCATGATGTTTACTATTTTTTGATACCGCAACTCGTAAAGGACTTTCTGGATGCAAAGTATGTGCGTTTACGGAATCAAAAAGTTTGTTTAAAAAATCTAATACCACTGCTGTGTCATATCCTGCTTTGTTTGGTATTTGAAGTGGACCAATCTGTGAATTAACAAATCCTCCTGCAAAGTTAAATAAAAAATATATAAATATATTATGCTATTCAATAAATTAGAAGAAAATAATAATTATCACTTATCAAATTACCTTCGATTTTGCTGTTGTATTCAATATATGCTGATAATCTAGCGCTGAAAACTTGAGCAGCACATTTAACTTTCATCTTTTTTATTTTTGATCTAATTACATGTTCATCAGTTAATGTTAGCAGTTGACGATTCAATGTATTTGTGTTGATATCCATTTTATACGCCAGTTCAATGATCTCCCATGATGCAAATTGTCGTTCGTTTGTTTCTGAATTATTGACATTAAATTCTAAATTTTTAAATAATAAATTATTACGAATTCCTTTTAAAAGGTGTGGTGGATCAAAGATGGGTACAAAATTTTGTCCAAAAAGTTCAATAACATCGCCTTAAAAAAAATTAAAAATTATTTTATGCATTACTTATTATGTTTTCTAATATATATTAATTTTCTAATATTATTATATTTTCTAATATATTAATATATATTAGAAAAAATAATATATGAATTACTTTTTAAAGCTGTTAGATAGTGCGCGATTACGAGGATAGGTCCACAGGCACAACAACACTAAGTGGCCAGAGTATAATCACTTTATTTCGTTTAGAATAACAGCCTTGTATATCGGCACACGAAGACGTGAGTTCTCGACGACACGAGATACGGAAGTAAGAGAGAGATAGACATTACAATGGGGGGATCGAGCGATTACTCGAGTCGACCCAAGATGGCGCAATCGACAGATCGACTGCGGGTTCGCGATACAGCAACTTCCCGCGAGTGGTGGGGGATTTGTGATATTACCAACACCCTCCCTCAAATTCGAGCACGCGAGACGTGGGTGACTTTGATCTCGATTCCGTCCTTGCAGAAGTGATGCTTGGCACCCGGCACAGCCTTAGTTAATATGTCGGCGATCATCTCCTCCGTAGGCGTATACGAGAGTTCGATTTTGTTCTCTGTCAGGGCTTGTCTAATGAAGTGACATTTGATGTCTATATGTTTAGAGCGCGAATGGAACATGGGATTGATTGCGAGCTTTCCTGCACTTTGATTGTCGTTATGTAGTGATACCTTCGCAAAAGATGCCAACCCCACTTCCCTTAAGAATCCGGACAAGTGGATGGCCTCCCACGCGGCCTCGCTGAGCGCGACGTATTCGGCCTCCGTCGACGAGAGTGCCACCGTCCTTTGCTTTCTGGCTTCCCAGGATATCGCCGCGTCGGCCAGCAGGAAAACGGTTCCGGTGTATGATCGACGGTCCAGGTGGCAGTTTCCCCAGTCCGCGTCGACGTAACCGGTAAGGGCCCTACCGCGTCTTGTGAATGTCAAGCCATGGTCGATGGTTCCTTTGAGATACCGGAGTATTCTCTTGGCGCAGGCCCAGTGAATCCTTGTGTAGCATGAGTTGAACTGGCTCAGGGCGCTCACAGCGTAAGCAATGTCCGGACGCGTCCCCTGCGCGATATAACTCAGAGATCCCAGGAGTTCCCTGTACGGGATTGCGGAGTCATTTATGGTAGTGTCCTTCTCGATGTCGTGTAGCTTGACGCCTGTTTCCATGGGAGTTTGCACGGGCTTGCAGTCGCTCATTCCGAATTTGCTCAGCACATCGCGAGTGTAGCCGGCCTGAGAGAGATGAATGCCCTCCCTGTTACGCGTTACCTCGATGCCCAAGCAATATTTCACGTCCCCCAGATCCTTGATTGTGAAGGCCTTGCCGAGTTTCGCCTTCAGCCCTTCAATGGCGAGTGTATCGCGAGATGCGATCAGGATGTCGTCAACGTAGACTAATAAAAGAATATTGTTGCCCTCGTCGTGGTAGACGCACGGATCGGCGACTGTCGGTGATAGGCCGAGTCCTTTCAACGTCGAGGAGAGCTTAGCGTGCCATAGCTGTCCGGCCTGACGTAAGCCGTACAGTGACTTGTTGAGCTTGCACACTTTGTCTCCCTCGCTGAGTTGACGTAGCATTTGCTTTGCTTTTTCTACTATGCCCTTGTCGTTTTCGAGCGTGACCATCCTTTCGAGCATTTGTTTAAGCATTTCCGGCTTTTCCATGTAGATGTCGGTGTCCATGATTCCGTTTAGATATGCCGTGGTTATATCAATTTGTGCGATTTTCATGCCTCGTTCGACGGCGACTGCCATCAGCATCCTCAGAGAGCTCAACCTCGCGACCGGGGCGTAAGTATCCTGGAAGTCCACACCCGGACGTTGCGAGAATCCTCGGGCCACCACGCGTGCCTTCCTTCGATCCAGTTCCCTGTTTGGCTTGTGCTTGTTTCGCAAAACTGTGCGGCATCCGATCACTCGGCCATTTGGAGGTGTGTCCACGAGCGTCCATGTGTCATTCCCGATCAGCGATTTCATCTCGTCGTAGATTGCGTCGAGTCACTCCTTTCCGTCCGGACCTGTAACAGCTTGAGAAAATGATATTTCGAGTGCCGGCATGGCTACTTGAGCATCGAACCAGTCGTAATCATCGGAGTCCCCTCCTTCTTGTACCGGAGGTTCTGCGGTGGATTCGATTTGGCCTGTTTCACCCTGATGTGTCGATCTCTTGATATGGTACTGCTTCGATGGGCGTCCGGGCTTTCCGGTGTATACCTTTTTCGGCCGCCCCGGTCCGCGTACGGAAGACGGGTTCCTGTCGAGGTCATGCGGCTCATCGGCGGCGTCGACTGTTCCCTCAGCCGGATCGTCATCTTGCGCGGTCGTCTCGTCGCTCCCGATCGTAGTTTCCGGATTCCGATTGGGCTTCGCATCGTTGTCGGAGTGTTCGTCTTCCTTGTCAGTGGTGCCATCCCCTGCGATGTCTTCTTTCCGGCCGTTAGTGTCGAATTCGTCAAGGAACTTGACGTCCCTGGCGATGATTACCTTGCGGTCCTTTGGCACCCAAACGCGATAGTTTCCCGGGTGGTCCGTATAGCCGACGAAGATGCCCTCGACGCCTCTGGGTTCAAACTTCCCTTTGTTGGGAGACTTGTCGAGGAACAGTACCTTGCATCCGAAGGTACGCAGATGGCTGACGTCGGGCCTTTCGCCTTTCCACAGCTCGTAAGGTGTACGATCGTCCGAGCCTTTGCTGATGCAGCGATTCCGTATGTAGTTAGCCGTGTTTATCGCCTCGCCCCAGAATGATGGAGGAAGGCCCGACTTCGCGAGCAGGCAACGTGCTGTTTCGACTAAGGTTCTGTTTTTGCGTTCGGCCACCCCGTTTTGCTGTGGGGTGTGTGGCACGGTGAGGCGTTGTTTAATTCCCGAGTCTTTCACGACCCGTTGCCTGGAGGAGTTGACGAATTCCTTGCCGTTGTCGGTGTGGAGTGCCTTTATCTTGTGGCCGGTTTGGTTCTCTACGAAATTTTTGAATTCGACGAACTTGTTAAGCGCTTCGTCTTTGGTCTTAAGAAAGTAGACCTGGCACCACCTGGAATGGTCGTCGATCAGCGTCATAAAGTAGCGTGCCCCTCCCGTTGACTTGGTTCTCATCGGTCCGCATAGATCAGAGTAGACTATTTCGAGGCGTTGTTTTGATCTGTGAACACGAGGGGAAAAGATAGAACTCGTGAACTTTTGTTTTATGCATACCTTACAGACTGGAGGTTCTGAAGTATCTTTCAGTTCGAGCCCCGTCGCGGCTTGCGACCTCGCCATGCGCAAAATGTCACTTTGGTTGAGGTGCCCGAGTCTTTTGTGCCAGATCTCTGTGTTTGCGCGTTTTGTCTGTGCCGCGTTTGCTTGAAGAACGGAGTCTTCCAGGAAGTATAAGTCGCCCCGGCGTTTCGCCACTAGTTTCACGTCTCCTCGACGATCTCGCATGGTTGCTTGCGATGGGCCGAAGTCGACTCGGAATCCCTTGTCTACTATTTTAGATATCGACAGCAGGTTGGTTCTTAAATCTGGGACGTGTAGTACGTCGTTTAACCGAATCTTCTTGTTCGTATGGTTTACGCTAGTCATAACCTCGACGCTTCCTTTGGCATTTACTGGACTGGTGGCGTGATTGGCCTGTTTTATGTCGCTCGTTACCCGTGTCGTTCCTTCCATCTTTTCGATGTCACAGCATAGGTGTGATGTGCACCCGCTGTCGAGGCACCATTTGTCCCGCGTCGAATATCCGGGAAATGTTCTCGATGAATAACGGGCGGTTTCGGCGAAGAAATTCTCGATCTCCGAGCTGTTGGCCTTCTCGTCCTCTTGCTTCTTCCTCTTACGGCAGTCGGCATACTTGTGGCCTGGGATTTTGCAGAAAGAGCATTTGAATTTGAAACGAGGCGGCGCGGTCGTGGCGGTATCCTTGCGTGGATCCGGCGCGTTTTTCCGAGATTTCGCGTTTGAGTCGTATTTTCCGCGACGAGCGAGCATTGCTCCCGACCCTTCCGCTGTTGCTTGACTTCGCGCCTCATATTCCTCGAGGATTTTAACCTTTAGTTGTTCGGCGTTCGGTAGTGCGTCGCGGAATTCGATCGCGCACCTGAAGTTTTCGAAGCCGCTCGGTAGGCTATATAAGAGTATAATGGAGAGGAGGTCTCCGTTTATTTTGACGTCCATAGACTCTAGTTTGTCGACTGCGTCGAAAAATTGAGCGACGTGTGTCTTGGCGTCCCCGCTTTCCGGCATTTTCGCTTGGATGAGCCGTTTGAGAAGTGTCGCTTTGCGCGCGGGACCGCTCGAGTCGTAAATGGACTTTAATTTATCCCATACGTCCTTAGAGGTTATGCAGCCACGTACCTGCTTTAACTCAGTGGGGTTAATGGCGAGTATTAGATCGGATTTGGCTTTGCGATCTTTGTTTTCCCAGGCCGAGATGGCTGCTCGAGTCGCCGGATCGTCGCCTTGAGGTCGTGGCATCTCGCCGCTCACGTAGCCCCAGTTGTCGTTTTTTACGAGTAACGCCTCTGCCTGTATCGCCCACGTATCGTAGTTGTCCTTTGTCAGTGTCTCCAGCCGCGTGGAATTAATAGTGTTGGTATGCGCCATTGTCTCTGTGGATTTGGTCGTTGCACGCGTGGTGGGCAATATACACTTGTTAACCTTTTTGTCGTGACCACTGGGTCCATAACCTGTTAGATAGTGCGCGATTACGAGGATAGGTCCACAGGCACAACAACACTAAGTGGCCAGAGTATAATCACTTTATTTCGTTTAGAATAACAGCCTTGTATATCGGCACACGAAGACGTGAGTTCTCGACGACACGAGATACGGAAG